GGGGGGGGGGGGGTATGGATTCCACTCCACTGTAAATAATATAATTTATAACTAATGGCTCCAAATTTAAATCATGGAAGTTCAGTTATCTCTTAAGCTTAGATAGAGATGTCTTTACCTCCTCCATCTCAGGTTCATAGCAGTATTCCATGACCTTCTTTGTGATTTTTTTGCTTCTGACAGAACCAGAAGATTTTGAAATCTCACTCTCTTCAACCTGAAAGTACTTGCTTTATAAATTTTTTGGGAGAAGTCTTGTTCTAACTAGAAACGGATATTAATAGGAGGCTAGAATATATGAAAGAAATAGAAGTGGGGGATGTCGACAATCAAAAGAACTTCAAGCAAGATTACGAGATAGGAAGACCTTATCAACTTCAGTCATGAAGTAATCGTCCATTGAGTGAATGCGAGGCGCAGTGCCACAGTTTTCAATCTCAAGGTCACGTAACATCTTTGCCAAATAGCTCTTTCCACTCCCTGAAAAAGGTAAAATAAAGCTGAAAATACAAGCAGACAATTTAAAAGAGAGAATCCAAACTCTTTAACCTTGTTACATATGTTTCTCTACAGTACGCTATTGCTTTTAGTAACAATTTTCAAATAAGAATGCAGGTAATCAAGTCACAAAAGGACATATAACATGAATGCCTGCTTTCAGTGGTTAGCAGAGAAAGTAACATATCAGCCCATGGTAGTAGCCCTCAAGAATCTATAGATCACAACGTATCTACTTCTTTTCAGAAGATTTACATGAAAACATTGTAACATCATCTTTAAAAGATGAAAGCAAATGATCATACTTCTCCTGCCCCTACTCGGAGGCCTGGGACCTTGGCTTAGTAATGAAGGAAGGGAAGCTCTTCGAGCTTTCTCCGCCACAAGGCAATCTTCTAATAGAGGGGAAGAGGCAGAGCTCAACCGATTCTGTGGCACAAGATGCGTTGGTATTGCAAAGACAGGAATGAGTTCACAACGTTCAAATAAGCTACTCGACCGACTAAAGCTAAAAGGAAAAAAGGAGATGACTCTAGTTGTTGAGTACCCTGAGGAATGTACCAGATCGACTTCTAGTTGTAGCGGATCTTACATCGGTTCTAGCGCTTTCTCGAAGCAAGGAGTATGCCCTCGTGTTTCAACGAGAACACCGAAAACCTAATTCACGGCAAAAGCCTTTTGGGTCGGAAGCTTCTTCTTTTCGATCTGGTAGGAGGGGAACTGATGAAATTCGGGAAAAACATGGAAGAGGTCGCTATACTTG